AACATTTCTCTACAAAACGTGCAGTCAACGAATTGTTCAATATTTGAGCTAATGAAATAGTGTACAAATCTTTAACCGGGGTCAGAAAAAAACTTTCGTCCCGATGCAGGACCCTACATTTCGCAATATCTCGAGAAAGAATCATCTATTTCGGATATTAGAACACCAAATACAACAAAAATAAAAATATGTTTTAATAAAAGATAGTTTACATATAATAAGTAAAATTTAATCAATAGTAAATATATCATTGTCTCGTTGGAATCGAACCTATCAAACTGCTATTCAAAGGTATAACACGATTATGTTGAATTATTTTAACGACAATCTTTTTCAGTTGTGGTGTAAAAATAATTGTTGATAAGCATATACATATCATTGATATACTAATAAAAAACCAAAAAAAAGGAAACGTGAGAGGATGTTCTTCATGTGTAATAAATGCCGTCACTAGAAAAACTATAGCAGGTATTCCAAGACTTATTAAGACACCAGCAATTATGAGAATACGTCGAATGATAAGAAAATCACGTTCTTGTCGTTGTCTAACTATAAGTGTTTGAGTATTTGTTTGACGCCGAAGAAAAATTGTAATGCGGATATAAATAAATGATAATACACCAATCTGATTCCCGTAACCATTAAATGCAAGCCAAAGCATACTATATACATTTGTAAATGGTACAAAACAATAATAATCTGTTGGAAGATAAACAACAGAATGTAAAAATAGAATCAAACTCATTAAAATACAACTGAAAACTAATTCTATGAATGGTAAAATAATATATAACTGGTATGATTGAAGCCATCGTATAGATGGATATACAACTCGACAAAGACGAAAGAATGCCTACATTCAGAATAAAAAGAAAAAATTTTTTTCATTGTTCTAGTTAATCAATAATGAATTACCTGATTTACAAAAGCCCAATATATACACCCGATTAAAATAGGAGTTATATATCCTGCAAATATACACCATGGCCATGATGAATTTAAATCATATTCATATAAGTTTCCTAGAACTGTTTGAATATTAAATGATGCTATTATTCCAATATACGCCAAAACTAATGAATAAATATTAATGCAATGAATAAATATTATTCGATCTTCTTGTTGTAAACGATTATGACAAAGATGATGAATAACACAAATTAATATAGCACATGAAAATAAACATGATACCGAACAAATAATAAGTGTAGTTAAACACAATATAAATGCAACTTGATTCATCATAATCTTAATAGTTTTAACTGAATATTTGATTGTGTTATAATAAAATATACTTGCTTTATAATTTTGCAAAGGGTTCAAAATCTATGAAAACTATTTCCACTTTGATTAAGATCTAAATTTACTTTTAATTATCTCAATGTATTTCATATTAAATATAGAGCACGACTTTGGTGAAAGTTTTTTTTTCTAAATCTAAACGCAATTTAAAGCATTTTACATTGGAACCGTAACTTATATAGTCGAAGAAAAATGTTTTTAACAGAAAAGATAAATTTAGGAATGATGCTACGAAAAACAAAAATGACAAATATAACTCTATTTTAATTGATTATATAGAAATAAATATAATATAAATTGTGTTACTAAAGAATGACAAATGTAAACTATTGCATTTTTTTTTATACGAGAAAGTTCTTAGAGAGTAAGAGAACTTTTGTAGTATAAAATTATTGTAATTTTTACATAATATTTCAGTGTAATTATTTATTCAGTAGAATAAATCATTCATGTATTCTTCCTGCAAAAAAAGAGGTTAATAATTTGAGTACTTGTCAATTGTATCTAATATAGAAATAATAACAAAGACACGTCCTTCATTAATATTAACATCTATTTATGAAAATTCTTTCATGATTTTATGATGTTACTTTTTCTCAGATGTTGAAAAGAGTATGTTGAAGAAATGAAAAAAACAGCCGCGAAGTTATATTATTACTGCTTGAATATACTTGATAATGAATAAAAACAGATTCTTTTACTATACAAATAAATAATCAGGAATAGTTTTCATAAATGATATAAAAATTTCGAATGAATCATTTCTGAGATTTAAAACCAACGAGAGAATTATTTAAAGTGAATGTGGGTTTCTCTTGTCTTAATCTAACAACACTCACACCTACACCCATAAACGATAGTTAATTATCATTATATAAAAAAGAAAAAGAAAAAGAAAAAGAAAAAAATCATGTTCTAACCGAATAGTTTTTGTGATTAAAGATATTACAAACAGTTGTTCTGATTATTCCTAAATCTTCAAGATAAGTACAAATAAATGTAAGTATACACATTAGAATAAGCCTTTGTTCAATCTTCATATTTTATTAATTTATGATGTTAAATCAAACTTACTTGATCTTCACAAAAGAAAACACAGAAAAATATAGAAGAAGAACTGCTCTTTCGCCCTAAATTATTATTAGTCATATAGGCACGGTTGATACAATATAAAAGACCATTCATAATGTATTCATGTACTCTTTGCAAAATTTCGATTTATGTTGTTGATATTTATCATTAGCAGACCGTATTCCCAATAATAAAAGAGTTAATTTTCGAAAATTTTGTACGAATTCCTTCAGCGAGACGTGATCATTATGAATTGGTAATTGAATATTAATTCTGAATATTTTTAAATTTGGAAAGATTTGTGATCATATTGGTTATCTTTGCTTCAGCACATACTCAGTTCAAAATGAGTTATTTTTTTCCTAATCTAAATGAAAAAAGTTTTTGTATCTTCTTTGAGATCTAAATCGAATCATGTTAAATTAAAATGGTTAAAAAGATATAAGCTTCGATATGTATGCATAGAAATTATCTTCAGTTAGAGATAAAAATAAAATCATTTATTAAACTATGTTTGAATTTAGTCAAAATTCGAAAGAGTCTAATAATAGCAAAGTAATACTAAAAAGACTGGTTTTACTATAAATACAATACATAAATCATTTTCTGAATAGCATCAACGTATAAATAGGACAATATTTATTAATCAAATTCCTGAATTTTATTGTGTTTATCTTACAATATTATTCATCTTTTTCTCTATTCGAAGTACTTTTTTTTCGCAATCAATATCATTTCTTCTCATACAGGAAATAATGTAAAAGTTCAAGGGCAGCGGAGTCTATGAGACTCACCTAATTTTGAACTTGACACTCCATGATAATCTATAGTTTTCACACCATTTATTCACTTGCTGTCGCTACTGTTCTTTCTGAGACACAGAAATTATACTTCTTTCTTATATGTATTGTTCGTAGTGGCTGTCTTGACATGATTGCAGTCGAATATCAGTTACGCTTTGATTTCACAAGAGAGAATAATAGCTTCGGATAAGAATATATGTTTAGAAGTGTTAGGTAGTGGTATTTATCCCTCGTTTCACTACCTTTGTGATTCTCTTTCTTTCCTACGACACATACTTGTTTGAATAGTGCATTTCTGACTGGCATTTACAAGGAGAAGATCGATTCTATTGTCTTAAACAATATTTATTCTACGTTTGCATCAAAAAACGAACAAAGAAAACGGTTCTTTTTTTTTAATCCTAACCATCTTTTATTCTTTGATTTACTGAACTTAAAAAAACAAGTTTTTTTGATGCTGCAGCTTTAATAAAAGTTTTATCATCGCAGTTCAACGGATGAGGAAAGAAAATACTGTGAGCCCCACCGAGATTCAAGACGTTCCGCCGCCTATGCAACACGTCCACACCAGAGATGGGACCGGTTCGGTTCGGTTCGAGAAAAACACGAACCGATCCCATCTCTGGTCCACACCCACATTTCTAAATCTTATATAAAATAAAAATGTTTTAATAAATATCTATAGAATAAATTCATGAAATTTTATAAAATAATTCATTAAAATCAAAACAAATATTATCGTAAACTAAACTATTAGTTAATTTAACAAAAATAATCATATCACAAGATTATTATTTGAGTAAAATTAATTTGAACAAAATTTGTTTTTCGAATAAAAAATTGTTTTAATATTTCGATCTAATTAAAAACAATTCTACAATTCTTTTTTATTTTTATCTATTAGAAACGATGAAGAATATGTTATTCATTTTTGCCTTCGAATACAAATATTACAAAAATAAAACAAATAAATTTTTGTTACTTATTATCACACTTTTACATCAAAATAATAGAATATCTAAATTATATTTGTTTTGATATTTTATTAATCATGATAAATAAATCGAGAAAGCGAAATTAAATATTTCATATAAACAAAATTCCAAGATAAACATATTTAAATATGAAGAAAAGTATATAAAAATGAGAGAATGTTTTTGTTTGTTGTTAGTTGATATAAATGAAAATGATTGTATTTAGTTACTAGGAAGAGAAACTGATGAACATGAAATACTAGCAACACTACCACCACTGGTATTTCCCTAAAAAAGAAAATTGAAATTCTAAGAAGAAAGAGTATTGATTTTGATAACATACTTGACAACAACTTTGATTTGTACTACATCCTGTAGTTTGATCACCAGTGGTACCATTTGTTGCATAATTATAACATGTATGTTCTGACAAGAGAAATAATATCAATTAGTTATTTCTATAAGAATGAAAAAAACATAGCATACGTTGATTAGTTTGGGAATGGATGACTTTGATAGCGTTACCATTGTTCGAACGGCCATTGCTCGAACCGGAATGTCTTTTTCGGCGACCATTCGTAGCTAAAATAAAATTAGAATTTTTATAAAATAAAAAAACAAATAATTAAACTTACTTGAATCAGCTTGATTATTACAACAGATATTTTGACCACTTTGACATTTATTTGATGTGTCGCTGTTGCTCGTTTCAGTATTAGTATAAGTATTTGTTGGGTATACATTATATGTTTGTGGAGATCCGCTATTTTGACCATTGTTACCGTTCCATTTATTATCACCGCGTCTTTCTCGAAATACCGATGCATTACTTGCAATAACAATCACAGCAATAATCATAAGACATAAACATTTCGACATTTCCATTTTTAATATTAACGATTGTTGAATAAGGAATAGTAAATTGAGATAAGTTTTGTTGAGATTCTCCAAGGTTTATATATGATAGAAATGATCATTGATGTGGAATAAAATACTTTCTTTTGTTTAATATTCATACGTCAATCTTCGGATTTATTTTAAGAAATATTTACAAAATATCTGGATTTAGTCAAATATTATTAAGTGTTGTTAATAATACAAAAGAAAATAATGTTTAACATGAGAGAATGGTTTAAACAGTAGAGTAGAGTGATGACGTTATTTTTCTTTCTTATTCTGTCTAATCAATACAAAAGGTAGATTTTATAAAAAGAAATAATCGACGACGAAAATCATGATTAAGACAAACGTTGCACTTGATAATATGAAAAGAATACTCGTTGTATCTATTTGAAAATGTAAGATTTTTCGTTTAAAAGACAAATTTCAATCTAATTATGCATTAGTCATAAAATGTCTAGAAAGAATAAATTTCTATGAAAAATTATCAATATTTTTCCTGAAACTTTTCTTTTAAATAATTATTAAGCTAAAAGTTTCTCAATTAATTTAATGAACACATCTTCTGAAATATTCCTACACTGATATTTCATACACGAATTTTCAATCAATAATACCGCATTTATTTATTTTAATAAAACTTCGTGCAGTGCTGTTTCTATTAATATTATGAAATATAAAGTACAATAGAAATATTCGTTTTCATTTTCTATTTTATTTCATGTATTCATTATGTGACAAAGATTATTTGAATTTCATCATATACATAATCAACACTTTCTTTACGGTTTAATTTTCGATTTTGTAAATTTCAAAGAATTTGAAATGAATATTTTTTTTTTCTCATATTATCAAGTGCAACTTTTGTCTTATTCATGATTTTTCTCGTCGTTTCTTTTCATAAAATACGCCTTTTGTATTGATTAGACAGACAAGAATAAGAAAAAGAAAGATAACGTCATCACTCTACTCTACTCTCTAAACCATTCTCGCGTTAAATATTCTTTTCTTTTGTCTTATTGACAACAGTCGATAATATTTGAGTAAATCCAGATCTGATCATCATATTTTGCAAATATTTCTTCATCTAATCTTAAAATAAATCCAAAGATTGACGTAATGTGTATTAAACAAAAAAAAGAATATATTTTGTTCCACATCAATGATCATTTGTATTATATATAAACCTTGGAGAATCTCAACAAAAATTTTCTCATTTAATATTCATTATTCAACAATCAAATTAAACAATCGTTGATATTCAATATGGAAATGTCGAAATGTTTATGTCTTATGATTATTGCTGTGATCGCCATTACAGCTAATGCATCACCATCTAGAGAAAGACGCAATGGTGGTGGTGGTGGTGGTTCTGGAGCGAATTGTGGCAATGGCAATAATGAAAACAACCAGCAACCAACAACGTATATTGTTGCTCCATCCAGTAATGGAAACAATGGTAACAATAATAACCCAAACTGGAATGGTCGACCAACTTATACGCTTACTCCAGACAATTATACTATTAATAATCAACAAACTTACAACAGTACAACAATAAATAAATGTTCATCAGGCACAACTCACTGTTGTAATAATTATGCTAGTTCAAGTTCAAGTAAGTTTAATCATTTGTTCATGTTAATAGATAGAATTTCTTTTCTTTGATCATGAAATTTATTATTTATTTTTTTATTTTATAAAAATTCTAATTTTATTTTAGCTACCAGTGGTCGCCGAAAAAGAAATCTTTTTTCGTGGTTTGGATCTTTCTTCCACTCTAGTTCCAGTACTAATAAACGTATGTTATGTTTTTTCATTCTTATAGAAATGAATAATTAATATTATTTCTGTTGTCAGAAGTTACATGCTCTAATGCTGCAACAGGTGGTGCTAGTGGTGATCAATATAATGGATGCTATCAAGGTCAAAGTTGTTGTCAAGTATGTCATCGAAATCAAGTCTCTTTCTTATTATAATTTCAATTTTGTTTTTTAGGGAAATAACAGTACTGGTGTTCTTACTCTTTCATGTTCATCAGTTTCTACTAGTTCCTCTCCTAATGACAGCAGCTAAACGCAATCATTTTCATCTATATCAACCAACGATAAACAAAAACATTTTCTAATTTTTAATCCTGCAATCTTCTATATAAAATATTTAATATCGCTTTATTTGTTATGATGAATAAAATATCAAAAAAAATCTAATCTTCTATTATAATATTAAAATCAAATCTTTTATTTATATTGAAAATTTCTAATGAAAAAGAAAGAGAAGAATTATAACATTATTTTTGATAAAATCGAAATATTAAACCATTTTTTATTCAAAAAATAAAAATCTGAAATAAATTCGAAATATTATTATTTACTCACTTCTTTATAGTGTTTTGCATTGAATTAGTAGAGTATGTAATTCGAAACATACTTTTTATTGAAAAAAAAAAATTTTCATTTTGCCAAACAAATGTTTGTGAAAATAATTATCGTAAAAAGCGACGACGTTCAATACGAAACACATGTAGCTTCGTATTAAATATCAATTAAATATAATACTGGTTTACATGATGTATTCTATCCAAATTGATAATATGCTACTAAAATATCATCAGTTCGTGATGACATAATCCAAGAAAATAATGTTTCACGTGGCTGAGAAATTTGTTTATAAGATAATAAAGAAAAGAAAATATTAACACGATTATTCTTCAATAATTCTATACTAATATTAATATCTTTTGTTGGTAAATGTCGTTGATATTCAATACATGTCCATATACGATCAGTAGATTTTAATAATGAACGAAATATATCATTTAATCTTGATACGGTCACCTATAAGACTACGACTTATTATTCACCTTTATATATGATAAACATATTATAAGATAATAACTTATAAAACAGAAACTATATTTAATTATTTTGTCCTAAAAACATTTCGCTACAAATGACTTTATGATGATCTGGACAACAGGGAACATTGCAACTTGAACAGTGAGTAATAACCTTGGGATTGCACTCTCTTAAACGAAGGTGACAACGCTACTTGACTGTAGCTGTTGAAATTGCATTGGATTATGAAGTAGTAACAGTTAATCCAATTGCTTGTACAGCTATTCACACGTTTTTTTGAAGGGTCTGTCACTGATCTGAATGAGATCGAAGAAGATTATGTTAAGGTATTCATGAGTCAATATTATTCATGTAGAGAAATATATGATTAATATTTTACAATTTCTTCTATCTTGTTCTTTCGTTTTATAAAAATAAAAAACGAATATTCTCCTCCGTCATTTTGTTGTTATATGATATCATAGTGAAAACACGTGCTGATATATATCTTCGTCAAATATATAATTTTGTTCTTTTCTACTGTTGTGTAGTTACTATCTGTGTTTTTTTATTTTATTAGAGTACATATACGTCATACAGTCTTTAGTATTTAAGCGATTCTATACATATATTCGTATGTGATATATATGATAGAAAAAAAGAAATGATCGGTATACCAGTAAATCCTAATTCAGTGTATATACCTGTTGTTCAAAGTAATTATTCATTTTTTTTTTAAATTTCTATTCTTTAATGTTTTTTTTTGTATAATTAGCTGGATGTTTGAAAGCAGAATTTGATTCAACATATCCAATTCATCTTAATGGAATAATTAATGAAAATGAATTTCAAGAATCAATTCATAAAATCAATCATACAATTGCTTCACGTAAAATTTTATTAATTGTAGGCATTATTTTTATTTTGAGTATAATAACTGGTATCATATTATTTATTGTTGGTGCGGTAACAGCAACTAGTTCTTTTCAACGTCGTGGATTTCCTGCATTAATTGGTGTTGGAGTAGCTATAACTATACTTGGAATAATCTTTTTTGCTATTTCATGTTGTACTCTACAATTTCGACGTGCAGATAGAATGCGACAAGCAATTGCAGAAGAATCAAGAAAATATTCTTCTCGATCACCAATACCCTGTAGTTGGAGATTAGATTCTACTACAAGTTATGGTGGATATTATGGAAATCAACATAGACATCAAATAGTTTATCATGTAAGTAGATTTAGTTTTCGAATAAATTTATTAATATCATTCTTTTTAGTTAGTAATAGATATTGGTCGTTCTATTGCTCCGGGAAGTGTAGCATATTATCCTAATCAAATTGCTCCAGATCAATCAATCTCTTTTGGTGGACAAAGTAACTATGCACCTCCACCTTATCCTGGGCAATCAACAGGATTCTGTTCTCAATGTAATGCACCACGACAAGCTCTCACAAGTCAATTCTGTTCATCATGTGGACATTCATTTAATAAATATTAATCATATATATTCAATAATTTTTTATATTATATTTTATGATACATCTTTGTCGATTTTTACAAATACTCGTTTATTGATTATCTCATTAATAAAATATTTTCAATAATCATAAAGCATAAACGATATGTCCTCACTACCAGTAAACTATTTATTCAAACAATTTCAAAAACTGACTTCAGATTTCAGTTTCTCGATCTTGATAACCCTACCGTCAACACTTATAAAGAAATTTCTTTTTGTAAAAAATTTGATCCTAAAAAAAACCTTTTATATCGTTGCCTAATTTTCGATCAATCAAGCAAACAATTTATTTCTGCTACACTCTTCTCTATGAGAAAGAGAACATTGTTAATTGATAAATAACTAAAAAATCACGTATTTTAAGAAAAAAAAATATATCCAATAGAATGTCAGTAGCTCGATACAAGTTTGAGTCAATATTCTTCAAAAAAAAAAATCCTCTTCATACAATAAAATGTGATAGATTATATTTATATTCGTTCTTCTGCATATATTGAAGATAAAAACAAATGGCAAAACACACCAACGATAAAAATATGTCGTTCTCACTAACAAAATACCGGTATTTTTTATTGTACGACAACAAAGCAAGAGAATAAAATGACAGATATATTTTAGTTAAATATTGAGAAAAATAAATCTAATATTTATTCACTTTTTTTTTTCTCTTTAATAAATTATACTTTCCCTGTCATATATTTAGAAAATGATTGGAACACCGACGAATTTAAATTCAATTGATATATCATTGATTCCAAGTAAGAAATAATTATTCTTTTTTTCTGTTCAAGTTTACGAGTTTCGAGTTTTTCGACAAATTGTAGCTTGTAACTGTGTACTTTTTTTCTTGAGCATCATCAGTCGACTCAGCACAGTCCAGAGTATCTATTAGAACAATTAAAAACAGATGATTATTTTTTTTTGTATTATTAGGTGGATGTTTAAAAGCAGAATTTGATTCAACATATCCAGTTACTCTTAATGGAATAATTAACCAAAATGAATTTCAAGAATCAATTCATAGAATAAATCATACATTAAATTCAAAGAAAACTGGTTTAATCATTTATACAATGATATTTATTTTGGCTTTAACTGGTGGAACAATATGTTTGATAGTTGCTGGAGGAACATCAATTACTTCACCTAGAAATACATTTTATATTTTAATGGCTATTGGAATTCTTTCAACTAGTATTGGAACAATAATTTTCAGTGTTGGAATGTACCTAGTACATTCAAGACGAATGAAAAAAATGCGACAAGTTGTTGCTGAAGAATCAGTGAAATATTCTTCTCGATTACCAATTCCATGTAGTTGGAGATTAAATGTTATTCGAAACTGGAATCGAGGATTTGGTTATCGTAATAATCAGCCAGCTTATAATGTCAGTTATTTATTTATTTATTAATTAAATTTTTGTAAATATTATTTTTTTTTTCAGTTAGTCATTGATATCGGTAATTCTATTAATGCAATAAATGGAAATGTAGTATATTATTCGAATCAAACTCCTTCGGATCCAACAGCATATTTTGGAGGACACAATGATTATACTCCTCCACCTTATTCTGCACAATTGGCTAGAGAATTATGTCCTCAATGTAATACACCAAGACAAGATCTTACTACGAAAGTTTGCACATCATGTGAACATCCATTTAATAATTATTAAAATATTTTCTCTTTTAATTGAAATCAAAATTTAAATAAATAATTCTCTAAGAAATAACCATTTATTTTCATATTATTTTTAAGAAATAGACGCTGATAGAGGTTGTGGGTGTATGTGCGAATATTTATCGGCTCTTAACCCACACCCACACCCTAAATATTTTTTTGTTATAAAACTCATAAAACCATTAAATTTCTATAAAAAATATATTGTTGAAAAACTCGATTAGAGATAATCTATAAACTGAATTTATTTTTGAATAAAAATATTCATCTATTGTTTATCAAAGTGTAATTCTTGAAAGATTTGTTTCTTCGTCAGTAATTTGATTTCCTTCTAAATTCAGCATTTGAAAGATGTGAGTGATTAATTCACACACTCTCCGCTCAAATCAAAATATGCTAAATTGTTTGCATGAAGAGTCCCAAAAAACAACACTTATTGTACGGAATTTATCCTGATTAGTAAAAATAAAATGAATATAATTTCGTTGGATTCGATGTAAATTATGCTAAAACATCATCTTCGAATGTAACAAATTCATCATTCATAATTTTAAAAGGTGAATAAGTTGCTGGTTGTTGCCTAGATCGAAATAGATTAGGACAATGAACTGATGTAATCCTCACACATTGTTGTTCTTTAAGAATAAATAGCCAAATGGCGCCAATAAAAACTACGATATTAACGACCACAGTAAACACAATCTTGAGGGTGTGGGTGTCTTTCTATTCCATAAACCCACACCCTCACACCCTAACCTGCAGATTCACCATCAGCGATCCATGCATAGATTGGAACCATTCTCCCATTTCCTAAATCGAATTCAGATTCACCACTCCATGTCATATTATCGAACATGTTCTCTGTTGCCCAATGATTACAAACTAAATCATATTCACCATTATAGATCAAGATTGGCATTTTACCAAGTAAATCAGGCAATAGATCGATAGAAGGTTTATAATTAAATGCTTGAAATGCGTTATGAACCGATTATGTAAAATCTTTCCATTTATATGAATACTAGACATAACATCTGATCGATTTAAATAAGCAGAAACATATTCAAGTTCAGATGGCTCATTCGATCCACACATCGGTTTTTGTGCATTTAATCGTATGTCATAGGCATTGATACATTCTCCATTATTTTCCCTGCTTATACCATTATATATTATCTCATCGAAAATAGGAAAACATGGATTAACAAAAATATGTACTTGTTTCGATAATATATCTTGACATAGTGCAATTAGACGAATAATATTAGTATAAAGTTCGGAGTCGTTTTTGACTAAATTGTTTGCAATTGCATATGGTAAATATGAATTGTAAAGAGAAATCGGCTCAATCCATCCATCTCCAATAAGAAGACCACGTAGTTTCAATAATGACCGTTTTTCAAGAATTGCTTTTGCAATATAAGGAATATATTGACCACCAAAAGATTCACCAGCTAAATAAATATCTTCTTCAAGGAATTCAGGAAAAATCTCAACATATCGATCGAGAAAATGTTCTGCCATTACATAGAGTTCTTTTATAAAGTGATTTCGATTTGCATAAGAAAAACCAGTACCAATAGGTTGATCAATGAATAAAAGATTAGCATAGAAATACCATGAACCATTATTTGTGACTATGGTATTTTCGTTTAAAAATCGAAAAGGACCAGTTTCTGTCCAAGGGTGTGTGGGTGTGGGCGTTGATATGATATTCATGTATACCAGTTATTCAGACCTACACCCACACCCACACCCACACTCAAGATGGAGGGTAGTTCTATTTCAATACAAGTGTAAACAAAAAGTCTTTTACTGTCGTCTTCTCTATTCACGACTTTACGGAGTGTCGCACAACGAAAATTTTTTTTCCTTTTATAAGTCAGTATTTGTTTCAGAAGTAAATTCTATTGAAGACGGCAGTTTTTAAAACAGTATTAAAAAGAAAAACTTATAACTCATTATGATAAAATCGATTTTTCGAGTGAGAGAAGAAGAATATTTTTAATCTTATATTCAGTTGTTATATATCCTGAAAAATGAAAATATCTTCCACACTAAAAGCCACTCTATGTGTATTGTATTATGAAATCAACATCTACTATTCTCTATTTTCATAGCTAAAAATTTCTATTTGCGGGGGATGCACTCTTCCACTTTCGAAGCCTCTGAAGGTTGTCTGAAGTTTGTTGCATTATTTATTCTAATAAAAACAAATGTCTAAATTTACTTAGCAAATGACAGTTTTGGTAATACAATGGTCAATATTTTTGGTTATTGTGAACTGTTGAGCGATAAGTGATTGATATTTTTGTAAATATTTAACACAAGAACTATCATTTGTTGAGTAAATTTCTAAATATTTTTTACCAAATTAAACAACGCAATAGACTTCATGTATAAAATATTCTTTAGTAAAAGTTTTGTTATAGTTAACCATATTTGTCTTTTTTTATTGCTTCATTTGTTCATTGAAAAGAATATTTTTTTATTTTATTAAAATGCAAAAAAAAAAAGAAATGGATTATACGATGTTTTTACTGTTTGTTATGTTAAAGGAAAGAAAAAAAAGAATACTTGTTTTTTTCTACCATTTTCTTCAATATTTATTAAACATTACTTTTTTTACTGAAAAAAAATGAAAATTCATATTTATTTTTCTGTATAAAAAATTGAATATTAATTTTTGATAAAATAATTCAAGATAAATAAAAGAGAAAATGTTAATGACCAAAACAAATTCCAAGACAAGCAAATGTATATGCAAGAACATAAAGACCACATGTAACAATCATAGCAGCAGCACATGCTAATTGACCTTTTAATAATGGTGTTTTACTTGTTGGAGGATAACTACTACATTGATCAATAACAGTTTGATATCCATTGACTGTTACTGGTGTACAATTTTTAGCTATTGTACCATAATCGGAATTAAAACTACTTATTCCACGTAAAGCACAACATAAATCAGTACCTAAATAGCATTGACATAAATTATTTTGAAAATAAACATCAAAATATATAATAACAGCTGCTACTAATGCACTTAATACTAAATAAAAAAAAAATATTTTATGAAATAAAAAGAAAAAAAGAATTTTAATTACCATTCAATATCAATATGTATGTTGCACAACATCGACCACGACAACAACAAGCTAATTTGATTCGAAAAGAGAAAAAAAAGAATTATTGATTTATGAATAAAATAAACTTACTGATGATGAACATCATTAAAAATGTATAGAAGAAAATAATAGCAGCCCAAAATCCAACCCAAATTGTTCCATGTGCAACATCATAATAAACTGAACCAAATTCTAAACCAGCTATAGCTGCAGTTAATACAAGTTGAACTATAGCTAATACTAATGTTATCCAACGAGGAAATCGTTCTTTAAAACCCATTTCGATTTGTCTTTTTTACTGTCAAATATTACTATAACACAAATCAGTTCTTGTTGCAACTTGTTTTATACTCTCAAACTTAAGAAAATAATTCATTTTTTAAAAAGCACAAAAACATCAAGTTTGTCATGAATTTTCTTTTCTTTTCAATTCAAATCAAACATTGACATGTAGGTGGCATCGAAAAATATACATCACTCAAAATTTCATCCACGGAAGAAAAAAAAACTGAGTAAACTTCGTAAGATTTTTTTCGATTAGAATCAATTTATTATTTTAAATTTAAATCGAAACAAACTTTAACTATTCAAAGATCTTTTCTCTTATCAAAAAAACAAGATGGTTTTTCAATTATTTTTATATTAATTATTCAATAGAATGAAAACCCACATAATTTATTTCGAATGTTTCATTCTTAAAACTTCAAATACAGTAAAACCTCCCAAAATGAACACCTCTGGTTTGAACACATTTTTTGGTCCCCCCGATCGATTTTTGCTGTAAATAGACCTCCGCAAAGTGAACACCTCCGACCTCTGAACAATGAACGCTTTTTTTAGTCCCTTCTGTAAAAGAAAACCTCTATATAATGAACATATAGGGATTAACTGTACGTTCTTCTTTGAAACACAGAGCTGAAAAAATATGCTGTTCATATTAAGGAAATGATATATCAGTTTTTGACGGTCAACTCATCATAACAAGCTCTGTCGTATGTATGGATCAAACAAAACAATGTGATTAATCGGCGATGAATTAATCGATTCTATATGATAGGACAATATGCATTCTATCTTCGATTGTCAAATGAAACAGAACACACACGTTAACTTTGTCTATAAAAATATAGTTAATTAGTGAAAATGAAAATAACGCTTCATATCGTACGATTACTGCGAAGTACAAAATCTCGGTCGGTAGTATCTCAATTACCGACTTTTCTTAGAAAAAATAAATAGATGTGAATAATAGACAAAAATGCTTTCTTTTACTAGTTTTTGTTTAAAACGAAATAGATCTTTAATATTTTAAAGATAAAAAAATTTGTTTTTTTATTTTTCACTTAATAGTTGAATAAATATGTGTAATAATTGAAAAAAATAGTGTTTTAGAATTAATAGTAATAGATTTTAATATCAAGATGCATAGCTATCATTTGTCCATACTAATATTATATGGTGTATATCTAAACCTTTATTCAATATGAAACCTCTGTAAGATGAACACCTCCTCTAATGAACACTTTTCAAGCGGTCCCATTAGTGTTCATCTTAGGGAGGTTTTACTGTATCTTTTTTTCTCATTATATTCTTTTAGATCTTATATATGAAACTAGTAGAAATTTATTCGATGAAAATGCTTAAATCACAAAATTCTTTTTCTTGTAGAGAAGAGTTCAGTAAACATAAGTTGTTTCATTGATTGATTGTATGGCCGCATTTCAATGATTAGTTGAAAAATAAAGGGAAACATTTTCCGTAAACCTTGATCAAAAGATAATCAGGGGTGGCGGAGTCGAATCTGATGTTAGTTTTTGAAAATATTTGTTTGACTCATTTTTTCACACAAAGAACTACTTTTTTATGAGGATTGATTTTTGAGGGTTATCGGGGTCGCAGAATTCAAATCTAACTTCTATTTTGTTTAATTATATACATCAATAGCTTGGTAGTTGTTTAGTAACGCGATATCTACGAGAAAGAGCTGAGTGAGTCTCTAGGCGAGCGTCACTTGTATTTATATAGGAAGTATTTGAGTGTAAGCAAGACTATTTCTAATACAAAAAAAAGAAATAAACTAATTTAATTAGTAAAACTAAGTTAATAAATAAAATTTAAAAAAATTGTTTAAGATCTTGTTTAAGAGCTTGTAAAACTTGTGTTTGACATTCTGATTGAAAATTATGATTTCCAGGAAACATTCGAACATAAAATAAATCATGTTTTGTTGTTAATTCTTTCCATCGATTTAAAAATTCTTCATCAACATTTTTTTCTTTTTCACCTCCATAAACAATTATTGGAAGATTTATTGGAAGATTTTCTAATAATTCATTTCCAACCTATGTTTAATTAAGTTTATATTAAGAAAGAAAAAATTTAGTTTTATTCATACTTTTGAATCACCTCTTAACATAGGTAAGATCATTTGCATATAATCAGGATAATTATATATTTCTCTTGCACTTGGATCTAAAATTCAAATTTATTTTTAAGAAGTAAAAAAAAGCAAATATTTTACCAGCTATTTCTTTTAGATGCTCAATTAATTGTTTATCATTCATTTGTTCATATGGAATATCAGGATCTTTAAAAATATTTATATAAAAACAAAAGAAAATCATTTTTCAAACCTTGTAAATGTGGTGGCCCTCGACCCATTTCAACTAATAATTTAAGTAGATGATTTTTATTTTTTGTATCAATCATATGTTTAGCTAATGCAAAACTAATTACACTTCCAAGACTTAAATAATAAAATAAAAATAAAAATAAATATAAAATAATATAATATATATATGTCTAACCTATGTCCAATAAAAATACATGGTTTAGTTATAAATGGTAAAAGTCCAGTATTTAATTGATTTATATATTCTTTTATATCAGTTATTACTTTATCACCAAATCTTGTTGCTCGACCTGGATAAACTATTATTGAAAATTCATATTCAGGAAAATCTTTATCCCAATCACGATAATATGGACCTTGAAATAGAAGTTCATTTGTATTTTTATTATTTTTATTTCTATATTAAATACCTGCAGTACCAGCTGATGGAAATATAAATACTTGATATTTTGATGTTGGACGTGAATGACAAATTTCAAACCATGGATGATTTTTTCCTAGATTAGATGACATTGCCATTTTATCTTATGATAAAAAACTATTCTTTTCTTCTATCGATATCTTATTATTATTATAAATATAACAAAATACAAAGATATTTTACCTCTAACCGATATATATATAATCAACATCAAGATCATTCATCCGTAACATAGAAAAAGAAAATTATAGATATACAAATGTACATTCATATTCATATTATATGGACAAGTCAATCACAATGAAATAAAATCTTGAGGGTATGGGTATGGATGTTCACTGATTTTTTGTCAACACTCACTCTTCGAACTCTATACTTTCATTTCATATACATATTTGTCAGCATTAAAAATTGTTTTATATTAACATAAAGATTAATCTGTGTTCTAAAGGTAAATAAAATATTTGAAAAATGAAAATGATCATATAATAGGATAATATTAATATTCTATCTCATATATACATAAATTTTTACTTATTTAAATAATTAGTTTCAGTATAGTACCATACCCCTTTCTATCAATAAAATGTAGAAATAGATCGTAACGTTATATTTCGAAGTGTAAATATCTAGTTTTATATAAGTTTGTGTGTTTTGTTTTTTTAATAAACATGAATAAAATAATTTAAATAAATATTGATTTCTATTATATATTCGATTTTATATAAGAAAATAAGTATATTTATTTCTTAATTATTTTATGATAATTTCTATTTAGATAAATTTCGAAAGATATATTTTATAATATAATTATCATCAAGAATTAAAAATAAAAATCTTACAATAGATTTTTTTTCTAAATGAGAAAAAAAAGAAAAGCAAAATTAGTTTATTTACATATTAAAATAAAATATGAATAAGTTTGGTTTAATAAATTTAAATTGATGTTGTTTGTTGAATTTGTTTATTTAATTGTTCGGAACAAATTGATGGTGTAATTAATGTTTCGATAATAAATTGAAAATCTTTCGAATTTTGTTTATTTAAAGCTTCTTTTCGTTGTTCTAATGTTTGTAATTCATCATAAATAGTAAACCATTTTTGTACATGAATTGTTAATGATTGACGATATGAAATAACTTTATTATAAAGATCATTAAAATGTGATGAAAATGAATCTTGAATAAGAAATTGTTGATAAATATTTTTTAATTTATCTAAATATTGAAAATTGGTTCCATTAATTCCATAAGCTTGTCCTATTTTAATAGCTTGTTCATCTAATGTTAATTTATTATTTAAATAAAATAAACTATTTTGATTAACAATACAAGTTAATGCATATTCACAATTGATTTGATCTGGTAAATTAATTTTAACAAAATCATATTGATATATATCTAATAAATTATTTTTAAAATCAATTGGACTTTCACGTTTAACAAATGATTTTAAAAATGGTATTATATTATGATTATTTGAAGTTAATAATACTCCATTAACAAATCCATTTGAATCATTTATTAAACCCATTGTTAATCCAGTAAAATCAGTTGTACCACGATAAATAAAATCTTCACAAAAAAATCCTTTATTATAATTGTTAAGTATACAATTAGATATTCTACTATTTATATAATCAATTGGATTCCATAATAATGATCCATATGCAAAAATTGAAATTTTTTTCTTTTTTTTAATATATGAAATAATTTCATTTCGTTTTATTGAATTATCATGTAGACCATTTAATAATTTTAAATTTTCATCTAATATTGAATCATCCATTTTTCAATTGAAAATTAATTTTGATTTTATTATTTTTTTCTTATTAAATACTCTTAATTCGTTCGAAATAAAATCATGTGATCAACATTTTACATACGTCGACTGTGTGATCATGAGAATATTTTCATTTGAAGGTCATTCTTTTTTTTTTCTTTCATCATACGCGCATCACACATAAAGAAATGTGCTTTTTCATCATTTTGAATGGAATTTCTCAAGTATTATTAACAAGAATGTACTCAAATAGAGAACAGACCAAAGACTTTGACCTTAATAAAAAAAGAAAGAAAATTTTATATTATTTTATTTGTGTAATTAGAAATTCGTTGATATAGAAAAAAAAAGAATGTTATTAAATAATTTGAAATCATTCAAGGTCATCATGTTATTTTATTCAAGGAGAATAAAGATAAATAACATAAACATAAATATGTTTTCAATTAATTCAAGGACAAGCTTTTTCTTTTAAAACAATTATCTTTCTATGAAATTGCGATCTTTTTTTTTCTTCTTTAAAAAATAATATGAAAAAAACAAAATTTATTTTTATTATTAAATATAACTATACAAAAAAACAAAAAAACATTGATTTCATTTTTATTATTTTGAAATTTCAAATTGAAACATAAGAAATAAAATATTAAAAAGAAAATGAAATTTTTTCTTGTCAAACAATAAATAATATATTAGAATGTTTGTCTTATTCTTCACTTTGATAAATAGATTAAATTGTATTTCTTATATGCGCTAAAATTTTTTAACATTTCAATGACGATGATATCTATCTCTTTCGAAAATATTCGACAAAATACCGTGTAGTACATCAAGTATTAAGTTAAATATTTACTTATCATAAAAAAAATGACGATTATATAATAACCTTGATGTATTACTATTATTTCTCTAAAACTTTTATATTCAATAATATTCTTCTATGATGATAATGATTTTGCAATAGGTCTTGATCAAATCAATGAAAAGTTGAATTTAATATAGTTATTATAAAATAATACAATAAACGAGTAACTAGAGCTTTCCACACATCAAGTGTCATTATCAGTAGTGTGAGTATTGTATTATCACATGTGTATATGAGGTGATGACTATATCTACGCTCACGCCCTCAAAATTTAGTCAAGACTCATTAAAACTGAGTTAACTTATATAGTTTTTCCGTATGGATAGAATTATCACATGAAATATTTATTATTTAAATATCAGCAAACGACAAAGATTCAATTCTTCAATAAAATAAGAAAAAATCGATAAAAAAAAGACGAAGATTTTATTAATGAAACTATATTGATTTAAATAGAAATTAAATACACGAGTAACGCTCTTTCTCGTAAAAACGATGTGTTTTCGCTACCAGTAAATAATTTATTCTTACTGGACTCTTCTCTACGAGAAAGAGAATATTAATAATATTATTTCTATGAACAATATTTATACATATATATATAATACTCGAAGGTTCAATTTAACTATTCGATAAGACACTTCGTCAATGGAAAAAGAAATATATAAGATGAATTAAAATTCAATATAATTTTCATTATCGATTATTTAAAAATTATTTATTTTGAAATAAAACATCAAATAAATAATATACACAATTTAATTCTAAAAAATAAAGATAAATATTTTCTTGTTTATAGAAATAAAAAGAAAAATCAATTGAATATTTAATTTTCTTGATTATCATTAGAAGTATTTGTAGAAGGATCAATTTTCTGATCAGTTTCTAAAAGAAATAATTGTTGAAGAGAATAATTTGTGTTAAAAATACCTGTCTGATGATTTTTATCTTTAGACGTATTTAATTTTTGTTGTTTATCATAAGATTTTCTTCGTTTGTCATGTTTAATTGTATGAGTATGTTTATTCAAATTATTGGACATATGTTTATGTGTTTCATAATTAAGAGATTTTCTTCGTGGACTATGATTAGTTGCTTTTGTTTTTATTTCAATATTTGAATTTTTATTTTTTTCATTTGGAAAAGATTTTCTACGTGGACTTGAATTTTTTTTAGGATTTTTTTCAATTGTTAATGCTGCTGTTTTATTTTGTATATTTAATTGAACTTTATCATCTTTCAACGAATTTCGATGTTGAGTATTATTTAGTTTCGGAGTATCGGTATGAATATGTTTTGTCGGTTTTTGTTGAGCATATGAATGAGATCGATTATCTTTATGTGGTGAGAGATGAGTACGAGAATTTCGACGTTGATTAGAATTTTTATCTGATAGATATGTAACAGATTTTCGACGTGGACTAGTTTTATTTGTTTGTTTTTTTAATTTTAAATTTGAATTATTATTTTCTTCATCGATTTGTTTATTATGATTAACTATTAAGAAAATAAGATTTTATATAATAATCTAAAGTTAAATTGTATACCTTTATCTGATTTTTGATCAATAGTTTCATGTTGAACAGATTCAGTTTGTTCATCATCAGTAGATGATAATATTAAAGACATTATTTTATTTGAAATTTATTAAATAGAATTTATTTATATATAGAAAAAGAAAATGTGACGACGCAATTGTAATATATTGAATTAGAAAAATATTGTTCATTTAATAACATACAATCACTTTTATCGAGAATTGTTTTCACAAAACTAATCAATTCCGATAGTTCTATTTTTATAAAAGAATATTTTCTTCAACAATAAATCTAATACGCAATGAGTGTGTGCTTTTATTTAAATCGTTTGAACGATGTAGGAAACGATTTTTTTATATATTGTCGATCAACAAAAAAAACTTTTGTTCAATAGAATAAAGAATATTTATAATTGACTTTTTTCCGTTCTTTTTTAAACAAAAAAATATTTTTCTCGTTCGATTACAAAAATCTTGAACAATCTATAATATACAATCATTTTCTCCTTCTTACAATAAAAATCTCAATTTTACAATTTATTTTTTTGTAAACTTATTCGATTTAACATTATCAAATCGATTCAAACTCATTTTGTTAGGAATAAATTTAAGAAAATGAAATTAGAAAATATTTTTAATCATTTTTCCATTTCATTTCAATTACATTCAAGAATAAATTGATGAAAAAGATTTTAGAATTTACAGAATATAGATTCGTATCTTTAATATATCTATAATTCGAAATAATCAACAATTTTCATTCATAAATATTTTGAACAAGAAAAATAAATGATGTACAAATAATTGAAATTAAATTTTATTTTTCTCCTATTCATATTTTTTACCTTTCGACTTGTCATATAAAATATATTTTGTTTTATTGTGCTCATCAATGTAACACTCGCAAGTGCTTACACGATACATAAATAAGAGGTGGTCAAGGTGTTTAAGAATTGAGCTGAAACATTTAAGCAATAGGCTTTGTCTCTTTTCTCATATTTACAGTTGACTCTATCTCATCACTTACACGTGTTAAGGAGGAGACGATGGGTGGGTATGGATCACATTAAGAAATGAATACCACTCACACCCACACTTTTTTCTGATGTATATGTATAAATATGATCGATTATGAAATAAAATTTGAATAAGTGTCGAAAAATTATCATATTTGAAGTTGAATGATATATATTGATGTTTTGAAAAAAAAGATTAGAAATAAATATAATTTGTTAGTATATATTTAAATAAAAATAAAGTTGTTATATTATTCTATTAATTCAATGAATGTCTTTTATAAAATGAAAAGTTCATAAAATAAAACGTTAGCATTTAATAACTTTCGCGTCTTTAAGTCTATCTTTTCCATCTTGAGAAAATCCACAATCACCTAATCTACAAGTTGATAATGTTTCATTTTTATCAGTCATTTGAAGAAAATATTCGACAGATGAATCTGTAATAGATTTATTTGATCGAAGATCAATACCTCTTAATGCTAAACCTTTTCCAGTAAGTACTTTAGTAAAAGTTATAATTCCATTATCAGTTAAATTAGTATCAGCTAATGATAGTTGAACAATAAAAGGACTATTAATAATTAAATCATTGATATATTTAATTCCTTCATCACCAATTGGATTTGATGATAATGTTAAATGTGTTAAATTTTTATTTTTTTTAATTGATTCACAAAGTACTCGAATACCATCTGATGTTATTTGATTTTTTGATAATGATAAAGATGTACATTTACTTTTTTTAATAACTTTATCAACAATAATTTGAATATCATCATCAGTTAAATTCATTGAAGATAAATCCATTTCACCTTGTTTACATTGTTTTATTCGTTTGTCTAAATCATTATTACGATAAACATCATCTTTTGATTTGGAACTACCACAAAAAAATGCCATTTTTATTCTCACACGTTCGTCGTTGTTTCAACTTCTTCTTTTTTTCTTAAAATTATTCTTGAAATGAAAACAAAAAATTTTTCATTTCTCTCTCTCTCTCTCTCTCTTTTTATATATTCACTTTGTTTACTCTTACTTAAATATGAAGAGAAAAATGTATAAAAATCCAATTTTTTTTCTTCCATTAGATTTCAGTTTACATTTGAAACAAATTTTTTCTCTTTTATATAAAAGAAAAAGAATTGATTCGAAAGTGTAGAGAACAAATATACGTTTAATTTGTCAATTGGTAAAAATATTTTCATATAAAATTTCTTTTAACAATTTATGACAAAATAAATTTCTTTCATTTTTTTTATCAACATCAATATTATTAATTACATTTCAATAAATCATTTTCCTGTTAGTCCAACGTCAGAGAAAACCTTTACTTTTTTTCTCTTACAATTTAAATGTCTGTCTCTAGTTTTTAAATATATACTCACAGATATTTGAATATAAACAAAAGAAAGTCTTCATTTTTAATGATAAATCAATTACGAAATGGTTTAATATAAGAATTTTATCTAAAGATATTCATTACTCCTTTAAAATCTCAAACAAATTTCAACAAAGCAATTATAAAAGATTTTAATCATCTTAAAGACTATAAGAAAAAAAATAGAAAATGAATTTAATTTCGTAATAAAAACGTTAATAGATTATTTATGATACCATCTTGAGGGTGTGGGATAAGGAGGTAAGGGCTGGCACCCAGCACCTCAACACCTGCTCAGCACCTCAGCCCCTGCCGGTGCTGTGAAGCTCAGAAAGCTGTAGGATGAATATTAATTGAAGAAATGCTTAGAACTAGAGTTATACTATTACAATTTCATCTTCTGCTGCAGAAAAATATTGCTCAATATTATATCACTTTAACAATATTATTTCAACACTGTTTTGACTTGAAACTAAGTTCAGTAATATGTAAATAATTCATAAAAAGCCTATTTATTCTCAATGATACCGAAGAAAGTTTCCATCTCATACAAGTACCATATAAAAATATAAAAATTTCATAAAAGTGAGTATCAAAAATACTTTATAACATAAACAACTATATGAAGAAAAATATCAATAATTATATGAAAAACAACAACACGAAAGGCTGCATCAACAAAAATATGAAAAATCAAATGTAGACAGTTGCAAATAGGACTTATGTTATTTTACTCCTTATTACTGAACACGTAGTAATCGATCACTTGAAGATCGTTGTTTATCTGTTGTAAGTAACCAACAAGCCGTTTGTTTGT